ATTTAGTGTCGCAAGGGTTATCTAGCGTTACGCTATCAGCAATCGCATTGCTTTACATTTTTACATAAATGTATTTCACATGGATGTAACCATGATAGAATATTAGTGCCCTGGTAAGAGGGGTCCTTCGCTAAGGACACTCGCACTACACAAGTATAGGTTCTTACGGATAGATGTTACCTTACGGTGTGCTTCTTGTCTGCTTGCCTAGGAAATAAGCAGTGAACTGTCCAGCAACGTCGGTATTAGAAAAGGGCCCGAAAGTGTTTAGAGATTGATATGCTGCATTTCAAGATGCCCTATTTTCGTCGTAAGATGGTGCGCTGCCGAGGGCTGGGGCCCTGAGGTGGCGGCAGTCGATGCTGAGCAAGAGACCTTGGCCGATCCGCTGAGACGAGCGGTGTATATGCACGGAGAATCCAATAGCCTCCAAAGCGAACGTTATACATTGAATCTCCAGGCGTTTGCTGTTCTAGCTCCTACCAAATATTTTTGTTCCTTACCTGACGGACGCATCCAGCATGCAAGAGTCTGCGGGTCGATGCCTTCACTCCTTTTGAAGAGTATGCACAGTCTTACGCCGGCATAGCCGAATGCCCGATTTCTTAACGTTGGCAGCTACTGCAAATCCGAGTTTGTCTTGTGTTTTGGACACCGTCAATGTCAAGTGTTGGCCCAGGGCTCGCTATGCAGCCTGCTGGGGAGCCGCAGTTGCAAACACCTTCCCCAGCGTCTCCGTCGCTATTTGAACTGAATGATTCCGTTTTAAAAATTGGCAAAACTACACCGCGGACCATTCGATGCAGTCGTCCCCGTGCGGCATTTCTGACGCTAGTAACCATTGGGACGATTCTAGGTCTAACGTTGGCAATGTACTTCTGTAGGCTGAAAAAGAAGAACCACTTCAATGCGCGAGAATTCCTTCGCAGGCTAGCCGGACGCGAAGAAGGAGAAGAACAGGAGAGCACGAGTAGCCATTTCCGACAAGAAACTTGCGGCATGCTCGACGTTGCAGAGGGTCTAATGCCAACACACCTCCTCGAGGCGTCACCATTCTCTCTAGAAATGCCAGGAGAACAGACTTCTGAAGGTCCACCTCGCAAAAGGCGAAAGTCCGGTGACTCTTCTTCTTCTGAAGTTGACCCCGAGGAGCCTCCGGCTGTGCCTCCGGTCGATGACTGGTGGCTTAAGCCAACGGAATACGAAACACAAGAAAAATTGTCTCCGGATCAGGAAAGTCCGTCTTCGGCCCTCAGTTCCTCGCCGCTGACCCAGTCTGAAGGCTGTCACCCCGACCTTGCTTGCCTAGAGCCATTAAGCCCTCTGTTAGATGAAGAAATGGACAAGGCCGTGCAGAAATCAGTACAAGCATACGTGGCTTCTGCAAAATCTAAGGAAAACCTCAGCTATTTAGTGACTGTGGAGGCACCAGACACGCTTTCTAATGTTGCGAAAGAATTATTTTCGGATGAGACAGTTCTACGCCAGTTGATTGGTTTGGTGGAGGGCGAAATAGACGTGGCCCTAGCACCTGCAAAAGACACTCCTTCGGGGCCACCCGTCGGTGAATCGTCTGCTGACGCTAGCAGCAGTGACAATATCTCCTCACCTTCGCCTTCGATTCAACAGCAAAAGGAAGTTCCAAGCACTTCCGGTGCGAAGGGAAGCTCAGAGCATTCTGCTCATTCTCAAACGCCATCTGAATCAGAGAAATCTGAAGAGGAAGGCTCCCTTCAGGACAAAACAACACGTGAAACCATAGAGACTACCAAGGAAAGCTCTGCCCCTTGTGAAGCACCATATGAATTCACGTTGGCAGCGGAATCATCCCCCTCTGGGGACAGTTCCGATCTGGAAGCCCGTGCTGCGGAGGTCGCACAAGCTGTGGATCCCAAGGAAGTAAGCGCGATGTAGTCTCTGCTCACTGGCTGCTTTGCCGTTCAACGCTTCCACGTTTCATTAGTAGTTTCGAGCTGCTATTTCCGAGAATAAAGGGCATTTGTGCACGGCACTGCCGAGGCGTTTCTTCCCTTTCTGGGTTGGCGAAGCTCAGTGGCTGGTTCTATGCCATCATTTTCGCGCTTTCTTGTGCCTGGAAATGTATTTTTTGGTGACTTCTCAATGAGACTTTTTAATGTGGTGCTATGCTGCACGGACTGCATTTCTTTTTCGTTTTAGGCCCCTTCAGAAGGCAGCTCCAGTCTGCTCCAAATATTGCGCAAGCCTCAAAAAGTGCTTCCGTACCCAGGTGATAAGAATCATCCGTATTACCGGCTCCCAACGCCCGCAGCAACTCAACCAGAAGGCTCGGACATGGACAGATTTGATGAACATTTTGTTTTCTTTGTGGCAGAACCATCAGCAGGAGCCGCAGCAAAGCTTCTACCCATTCGCGAGATTTTGCTGAAGTCTAAGGTGGATGAAGTGGATGTGAGGTATCTCGTGCATCACGGCGAACAGCTTGTAGCCTATGCTTTCAAGTACTTGACAACAGACCTGAGAAAGAAACCCCTGTATCGCGCGAGGGAGCATTTGTGTCGTCGTGTTCTCGCGGCAGATGCCTTGTGGGCTCTCTGCGAAGTCGTAGGCCCTCCAATGAGAAAGGAGGTTTGGTGGGATAAACTTATGGGACTGATGGCAGGTACCTCATGTGACAAGAACCAGCCGAGAAACGCTGAGAAACATCCGTTCGTGAGGGACCTCGTTGATGCTTTGCAATTGTACAGAGAGGGAAACCGACCAGAACCAGAGGTAGTAGTAAAGCTGAAGCGGGTGATGTTCCGGGCTCCCTGCATGATGGACGAGTTTAAAAGCCCCCTGTGGGAGCCCTGGAGACAAGACGACAAACTTTATGGAAGCACGTCTTGACTCTACAAAGGCGCTGCGCTGAGAGGGTGATTTGCTTCAAAAGTTGAGGCAAATGCTCATTTGGTTATCGCCGCGAATTTCATCGCTTCTTCTGGTTGCTCCCAGTTTTTATACGATGGCAGGACGCTATGAATTTCACGAATTAAGACGCATGATCCTGAAACTTTAGACGAGGTAATGGAGGGGAAGCGCTGACTGAGTCAATGTGCCTGTGTTTGTGCAAATCAGTGCATCCTCGATGGGGACCTAATTGCGTTTCTTGGAAATTCACAACCTACAAGTACACGTGGGGGTAGCGTCAGTTATATTCAATGAGGATTAAAATGCAGGATCGATTGTGTGAACTTTGCTGACGCCTTCACCTTGAACAGTGATTCTGAAGGCGGCGCTTAGTGGTTATGACTGAGCGGTAGATCGTGTAGCCTGATAATGTTCTTGCTGCACCCTGCGAACATCTCTCCGCGCAGCAGTGCAGGAACGATCAAAAGTATCGTGTGAGCCTAACGCCGCATTGAGGCGTGATTCGTTGTCTACATTTTATCATCAGAGATGCAGTATTGCAGTGGCGTGCGCCGAAAAGGCATTGTCGTAAAGAGTTATGTCTGCAGCAAGAGGTAAATTTGATCGTTTTCCCTCTGAAAAGGCACGTCATCAAGTACGGGTACGCCGAGCAAACCAAATTTTCGTGGTCCCTGAATATATGTTTTCTTCCCATGCAAGAAGCAATGCGAACTCAGGTACTTCGTTTCAGAAGTTGTTTCAGCATAAGAGTCCTTAGATCCCCAGACTCTGCAGGCGTCTTATCAAGAACATATTGTAATAATGCTTTTGTATCTCCCTAGGAAAAGTATTTAGGAGACCATGGGCTTTAATCAGTAGCCGCGCTATTCATTACTGGTCTCATTCTATCGTGCTACCGTGCTGCATCGCCACACTGAGAGCTAGTTCTCCAGTCCTAGAGGCCTCTTGTCACTTGAGTGTTTTGCTTCCGTAGGTGCTGTTTAGAACAATACACAGGCGCTACGTGTGCCGCTGCTAAGCTCAGTGCGACTTCTTCCGGTCGAACACTTGCACGGCAAACGATCATTTACTCAGCGCTGTCCCTGTCACCTTTACTGACCTCAACACGAAACTATTACGGTCAGTAGTTGCTTTGTTCAAGCTCAGAGTGAACTGTTTCCTCAGAGGCAGTTTGCACGCCAAACTGTCCACTCTGAGCTTAAACAGAGCAACTGCAGCGCAAGCCTTCTGCGAGGCCGTTTAGAATCTGTTCCAATACAGTCTTATCAAATGCACATCGGAACAAGCTGGCACAACTACTGATCAACACGCCCTAGCAACAAAGGACATATTTCGTCACGCGAAACTTGAGTATGTTGACGAGGAAATCTATTTCAAAGACAGCGCCCCTGAACTTTGAACAAATCTGCAATCGAGGCCGAGGCGCTTGTGCTAGAGAGAAGTCTTCGCTGAATTTACGCAGCCCTTTTTTCTTCCTTCACCTCCTCCTTTGTTTTGGGCCGCATGGATGGGAAGAGAATGACCTCTTTAATTGTGATTTGGTCAGAGAGGAACATAGTGAGTCTGTCAATGCCCACACCCCACCCAGATGTTGGTGGCAAGCCGTACTCCAAAGCCATCAGGAAGTTCTCATCGATGGGACACGCTTCGTCGTCTCCCGCCTCCTTCGCCTGCTCACAACCATCCACAGACCGCACTTGCGGTCATATCCAAGAGGCAGACTGTTCCAGAAGGGCACATGTTGCCTATATAAGCTCTAACAGCATGATTCAAGAAGCACAAACTTCTTAAGGGCGCACCTTGACTTGCTCCATGAAGCATTCACGTTGCTTCTTTGGGTCATTCAGCTCTGTGTACGCATTGCACAGCTCCTTTCCCATTAGAAAAAGCTCAAACCTCTCTGTCAGCTCAGGCTTCGATCGGTGCCACTTCGCCAACGGCGACATAACCTGTGGATGGTCGACGATGAAGGTGGGCCTGAAGGTGCACTGGCTCTCAACAAAATGCGAGCATACTGCATCCAAAGCCTTCGCCGGGGTCACTGGGTTCGGTGGCGGAATATTGTGCTTTTCCATCAAATCCTTCAGACACGCTAGGCATTCAGGTCCATCCAGTGGCCTTGGCAAAGTGACCTTCGCCTGCTTCTCTATTTCTTCAACAAGCGAAAGGCGACGGTACGGCGGCGTGAAATCCAGCTCCACAACGGGACCGTTTGGGCCCTCCGGATGAAATGGAATCTTGTAGCTGCCATGTATAGACATTACCATTTCTGAAATGTACACGAAGAAAAGATTCGTAGAAAATGCAAGGAATCACTAAGCGGGGAAGTCCCACTTAATTCCTGAATTTGATAGGAGTTTAAAAGCACGTCTTGCTAACCAAAAGGTAGGGAATGGGTGCGAAGGCTGTCCATAAGAATAATGGCGATACCTGAAATCATGTCCTCAGTGAGCTTCATCGTGTCATTGTAGTCCGCATACGCCCAGTAAAATTCACATGCTGTGAACTCCGGATTGTGCGTCATATCGATGCCTTCGTTTCGAAAATTTTTTCCAATTTCAAACACTTTGTCCATCCCTCCTACAGTAAGCATCTTCAGGTAGAGCTCAGGGGCAACGCGCATGTAAAGGTCCGTGTTCAGATCGTTGTGGTGCGTCACAAACGGCTTCGCGTTTGCACCACCGAAGACGGGATGCATCATGGGAGTTTCGACTTCAATGAAGCCACGGCGCTCCAAGAAGTCGCGAATAAAGCGTGTTATCTTAGATCTGAGGTCACAACAAATAGACAAAGCAATCGTGCAGACGTAACCGACGGGAAAACAGTGGAGTTGATAATCTAAACAAACCCGATAATCTAAACAAACCCCCAGTGCCGCCCAGCCCCTACAAGCGTAGTAAACAACAATAGAAGTGCTGTTGGGGTACCGGATCACAAAGATGCGGTGGGGTTCATCGTTCACGATCAGATCTACGAATCGATGGCGGTAGCGCGTGTCCAAGTCTTTCAAGCTGTTTCGCTCAGGCAGCATGTGCAAACATGGCGTAAGCAGCTTCATTTCATGGGGGAAAATTGACAACTCGCCACGTCTGGATTTTCCCGGATACCCACGAATGCCTGAAAATCGGGATAATACCTTTGAGAATTGCGCAGATCAACGAACCTCCTTGTAGATAAAGATGGCTCAAAGCTACGCTGACACGCTACATGTCCTCACCAACGATATCTCCTCTCCGAAAGGCATTATGTATCTCCACAAAGTCCCCGGTGGACGGGTCATGGTCAGCAATGTTCGCCATTACTTGCACCTTATGGCCGTCACCCCGTACGTCGTAAAAGCGCAACTTCTGTCCACTCGCCGCCACTCGAGTCAACCGGCCTGTCGGAATCCCACATGAGCACGGGTCTTCACTGTGCATTCATTGTGAAAACAATTGCGTAATTGCCTTGTCTGCCTCCTATGACTTATGTGGCATCACAAAGTGGCACAGGAGTGGCTTTCAAAAGTCGAACCTGCGACGCAAACCTCCTCCTCCGGCAGATGAGCTCCATCGGCCAAGCCACCATACTTTTCTTGAAACTCTCCTAGAGTCATGGTGACCTGAAACAAACCCACTAGCGAAACATACCACCACCTAGCATTCCTCGGCAGATACACAATTACGCAAAATTGCCTACGCTTTCCAGACGTATCGAGAAAAATATTCGCAGATGCCCTCTTCACTCCCTCTGAGATAGTCCTCCTACACCCTCCCAATCACGGAATGTGTGGTCAAGCTCACATTGAACTTATGCGGATAGGCCGCATTTTCTCTACGGAGAGACTCGACAAATTTGCAGCGGTTTTCGTAGAAGACACGTGGGTCGGCTTCCTCATGTGCCTTTGTCTCCGCACCGCCTTCTCCTGCTTCCGTAGCTCCTTTTTGCTGTTTCTTTTCCTCGATCTGTTGCGCCTTCCGGAGACGCCTTCTTTCACTGCAGAGCAAAGCATTATGCACGGCGAAAAATGTCTCTAATTTACCCCGCTCTGCCTTGAGGCAGGCCTCCACGACTTGACTTTGCAAGGCCAGCGGTCAAGGCTGGGAAGAACGCACTGCAAGCCTTACTTTGCTGAAAGTTTTTTTTCATCTCCTTCTGCAGGAGCTCCGTTGGAAGGTAACGAGCTCATTTGGCTAGCAGACGAACTGACCAAACTGGACAGGGTTGCGGGGTGGCGTGCCGAAAAAGTTGGGTTGGGGTTCCAGCAAAAGCAATTTGAAGTCCTGGCGCGGGCAGAGAAACAGAAAACAGCACGTTCTTGCAGGATTATTTTTATTTTGCTGTACGGGAAGTGCGTCCGATTATGTGGAATGGAGCTCAATATTGCAGCGGCGAGGGGTGAACGAGTTAGTACACGTCCACCCTGATGAGCATTCGAGAGCATCTAGACTCCTCCAAGGACGACAAATTTCATTTAAAGCAATGAATGAGGGTTACTGTGACACGACCCTGCTGCGTCACGAGGATATTAGAAGCCATGTGGGGCCGCGGGTATAAACTCGATAAGCCGGTGACGACGAATTCAGCACACTGGCTACTTGCCATCACTTTAAATTATTGTGAATCTCATATCTTAGTGCTCAGAACCACAACAATGATATTCGAGAGACTATGAGGAGCTTCAATGGTAGGGAGTTGCCTGAACTTTACTGAGGCGCGCCTACAGGGATCGGAGCTGTTCGTTCATAAAGATATACGACTTTGAAGTGCCTACACTCGTGAAAAAATATTGTAAACGTTTGCCGAGACTCCTGCAAGGATCCTGCATTGGAACCAGTGCAACGTATGCAATTACTTCTTCTGGAATCAAACAGCGTGCGGCTCATGCATGAAGTCCAAAACCTGTTGATTTGCAACGTGAAATTTTCTTCTTGAAGCCCTGCTTTCCGTTTCCTCGGATAAATTCACTTGTTCGTCAATAGATTGGGCCAGTCAACTAT